GTGCAACATCTCCTCTATCTGGGGCCAGAACCGAGAAAAAAGAAAATCTGAAATCTCACTGGGATTATTTTGGATATATAACAGTAATAAATAAATTCATATTAGCATGGGTGATAACAACCCCAGGCCTGTATTTTGTGAGTGAACAATGTTATAATGTGTTTAAAAAAATAAAAATAACATATTTAAAATAATAGTATTTTACATATCAGGAAGTATCTGTGAAAACAAGCGATAAAGTTCCATTGCAATTTTTGTCGTTTAAGTTAGATTTCCTGTAACCATTGAGCTGTTCGCTAAATGCTACTACAGCTAAATGCTACTACAGCTAAATGCTACTACAGCTAAATGCTAACAACTAAATGTTTGTGTTGAGAGCTATCATTTATATTCTGGCCAAAACATCTTCTCCACTCAATGTTATTTCTGTTATAACATGCTTAAAATCATATTTTTATTCTGAGCGGAACAATGCGTTTCCATTGGGCACGTCTTTCACCTTCGACTCGTCAACATGTTCCCAATATTGCCCTTTTTTAAGTGGTTTTGTAGTTATTTTCTGCGGTCACAGGGACATTAAGAGCTGAATAAGAATAAAGGTTTTTGTGGCCGTGGGTGGTGCGGCTTCAACGTTTTATAACTCCTCGCTCTAAGTTGTGGCTTCATTTGGAGTCCATAAAAACACAAAACGCAGCATTTGAACAACCACATCTAGACATCTTTATATCCCAGACTGGCGGAAAAGCCCTTTGTATTTCACTAATATTCAATCCATCTGTCCTCCCTGCCGACTGTTGAAGGAGTTTGATCCACTCACAAACAGAAACTGGACAGCAAGATAACGCCCAAAGCACGAAAACGCCACAGCAAGCAAACACGCCGGCTGAGACAAAGATATTTCCTATGCAAAGCTCGCACACAATGTCATGTGTGATAGCGGCGGATCACGTCCAAGTCACACGCGCATTGGGGGTGGTATAAGGGAGGGGGTCCGCATCTTCCAATCGCTCCAGTGTTTTGGCTTTGTGCACCAGTATCGCGGGGTATAAAGCACGGGCACACACACAGCAGATTTCAGCTTTCGGCTAATCTCATTAAGAAACTCGAAACAGCCCAAACGGGAGAGGGGGGAAGAGGAGGAGGGGGAAGCAGGCCAGAAGCAGGCCAGAGATGGGGCTCAGGGAGGCAGGTGTAATGTTACATAATTAGCCTCTAAACGCTAAAAAGGAGATTATTGCAAATGGCCTACTACTTCAACCAGCCAGCACATGCAGTGGACCCGCTCCCAACGGACTGGAGGGAGGTGGGAGAGCTCTCGGGGGAATCCATGTGTGAAGAAGGGGGAAAACAGGCTGTTTGTTTAAGAGGGAGCAGAGCAGGAGAGAGTGTACTATCCACTCAGTTCGAATCCCAGTCGGACCAGGGCCTTTCTGAGTGGAGTTTGCATGTTCTCCCCGTGTCTGCGTAGGTTTCCTCCGGGTACTCTGGTTTCCCCTACCACAAAAAATATATCCAATAGGTCTGGCATGTGCCTCCTGTACTGGCGACCCCGCTCCCATCTCTGTGTGGAGTGAGAGACAAATGCCCAAAAATTAACAATTGTAAACCGCTTTGAGACTCAGATCTGCAGTGAAAAGGCGGTATATAAATAAAGATTACTTACTACTACTACTACTACTTCAGAAATGTCCAGTGTGAAGAGGGGAAAGGGAGATGTCATGGATTGGAAACACCACACACGGCTCTGCTTTGGTAACGTTTTGTTGAATTATTGCATTATTGGTGGCGCCCCCTGCAGGTGAAATCCAGATCCTCTTAGACCTCGAAAGCTAAGCAGGACGGGGTCTGGTCAGGACTGTGATGGGAGACGTTTGGGAACACCAGGTGCCGAAGTGAGGCAGCTGTGAAGTGCCAAACTGCTGTTGTGTCCTTTTGTAAGACACTTCACACATGTTGCGTAGTGTGAGTGTGATGTGTGCTTGAATATGTGGTGGTGGAAGGGCTGATGGCACATACTGGTTGCCTCGCTATACTCTCAGTGTGCCCCAGGGCAGCTGTGGCTACTGTAGCAGTTTATCACCACTGTGTATGGAGTGAATGAACAACGTCATGTGAAGCGTCTTTGAGTGTCCAGAAAAGCGCTATATATAAAACTAATGCTTTATTATTATAGAATTCTGTAATTACATTCCTAACATTCTAATCAGAACAGTCGCATTCTGAAGGCTGGTGGTCTTATCAACATTCTGTCACCTTAAAATTATTTAGGCGACCGAACACGTGAAATCACAGGAGCAGCGAATGATAAGAGATGTACAGAGCTTTATAGAGTCCAAAGTTCTTCTCAAAATTAGTAATACTCTATAGCAATTGACAATAAGGTAAGGTGTGTAATGGTTAGTTTGAAATCATTGTACAGCACATTACTTAGTGTTTTAAGAGATGATTGTTCTGAGGGGTCCAGCTGTTTATCAGGACACTTTATATTCACTGCAACTGCCACTGAACCCAGTTTAGACCATGACTATACCAGAAAAGGACCAGAGGGCTAGAATGGGCTCATATATGGATTTACCCTTAAAGAATAATCCAATCCAGAACGTGATGTCGAGTGTTTGTCCTAAGCATGCTTCATATATGTTTACTCAGAACCGCCGCAGTGTGTCAAAGTTGCTGTAAAATTGACATGTCACCAGTTCATAACATGGCATTTCAAAGCTCCTCTCCCCCACGGAGTGAGGGAGGCCATAGTTTGTGCTCCTGCTGAGAAATCCTGTCAGGAGCAGCGGGACTAGAACACCTCCTCATTCATAACACGGGGCTGGATTACCATGACGATTGTTCCCAGATGCGGCACGGCCCTCCACCGCACACCGCTGTCAGTGATGGAACACTACTGTGCACTGGACACCAGACACGTGATGACCAGAGCCGAGGGGAGAGTTTACAGCAGCAGTGGACAATAAGGAAAAATATGTTTAAAATAAGGAGCTTTTGGAATTTGGAAAGGACATTAGAGAACACATGTAGGCATAGTCTATACAACTACTGTGATTACTAAAATGTATTGTTAAGATGGGGATGTTTGGAATATATAGATTGTCATGGTTTAAGTTTATTTTACCCATTTTATGTTGTAACTTGTTATCCCTGTGTCTTCATTGGTTCAACTTCCTGTTTTGTGAGTACCTGCCCTCATGTGTATCACCTGTGTCCTGTTAGTCTCCTGTTCAAACCCTGTGTATGCCTGTTGCCTGTTCCGTCATTGTCATTCCATGTCTCCATTCCAAATGCCCAAGTTCCAGAATTGGGCATTTTGATAACATTGTTTTTACAAATACTGCTATTCTACCTTTTTCTACCTTTCTACCTTTCTCAATAACTACTTACTGTGTTTCAACCAACTGCATCCAATGTAATTAGTTGGTAAATAAAACAGAAAATACAGTTGTAGAACCCAAATATGAGCTGACCCTGTAAGTACATAATGGTATTGCCTCTTTTCAATTGTGTACTTGATGGTTAGAGGGTTGTGCGAGCAGGGAATGTGTATAATTTCACCTCCAAGCCTTCCTTTGTGGAGTTTGCATGTTCTCCCTGTGTCTCCATAGGTTTCTTCCAAGTGCTCCGGTTTCCCATACCACTAAAAACATGTGCAACAGGTCCTCCATGCGCCTCCTGTACTGGCGACCTCGCTCACATCTCTGCGGGAAGTGAGAGACTAATGCCCACAACAATTGTAAAGCGCTTTGTGACTCTGGTCTGTGAAAGGCGCTATATAACTAAAGATAACTTATTTACTTACTTTTTTTAAATTGATTCATATTAAATACTGTGGCCCTGCTGCTGAACAACTTACACATAGCAAAGCCTTTCATACAGTACATATGTAAAAGCCCAATTAGAGACGAAGGAGAAGGACGGTGACATGTTTGCAACCTCTTCACACACTCGGGAGCATTTGCTGGTAGTCACATGAAGTTGTATAACAAATGAGCGCGGTCTCTTTGAACAGAGCTGACCACACACCCCACATGTGGCAGCAATAATGTGCCTCCCCCCCTCACCCCCCTCTCACCCCCCTCTACACGTGGGACGAGTGGGGAGACAGTGCATTCCTTCTGAGAGTAATTAAACTCCAAAACAGCCCCATCACCAGAGCCGTCTCAGAGGAGCAGCGTGAAATATGAGGGACAAGACACGCTGGATTTAACCCGGCTATTTGCTAATGCGGACATATTTTTAACAAATCGATTTACATGCAATAGAGGAGAAAATGGAGCGTTGTCATTATGTTTTGAGAATGTGTCTTTAAGTGCATGGTAAGGGATTTATGGGGGGGGGTAAACCCCAAAAGACTGTAATTATCTTTGGGCTGAGAGCTGATTGGCTGAGAGAGGGCGGTCCTCTCTTTTTTTACATTTGTGTCTGAAAAAGCTGATGTAAAGATACTACTAAAAGGTGAAAAGTGACAGTTTTTTGTGGTTTGAAGGTTCTCCAGCTTTAGCAGACGAGGCTTGATATAGGTACAAATGATAACAGTGTAATCTATCACATCACTGTCAGGGCTGCTCCTCCAGCAGCCCCTCCCTCCCCTGCTTCTCCTGGAGCCGCCTCCCAGAGCAGGTGGATGGGAGAGGCTGATCAGGCCCAGCTGCCTCCTGGCTCCAATCAAGCTACTACAAGAGCTCCAGAAGCCAGCTCATCGGTGCCAGTTCGTAATCAGTGTTACTGTGCGTTAGTAGGCCTGCTTGTTTATCGCTCTCGTTACTTTTGTCTCACCTTTGTTTTGCTCTGCATCAGACCTCCGTTCCGCACCGCCTGACCCCAGCCCAGCACCGCCTGACCCCAGCTCTGCACCCAGCCCTGCCCCGCCTGGTCCCAGCCCCATTCCCGGCTCTCCTGTGTTTTGAGTCTACCTATTTTTGTTAATTAAACTTTTTGTTACCTCTGCACTTGGGTTCTTTGTCCGACTCGTAACAGTACGAACTGGCCAAAGAATGAACCCAGCAGACCACATCAACCAGACCCTTTCTGCCCAGATGTCTCTGTTGGAGCAACATGACAATACGCTCAAGGCCCTCATGGAACACATGAAGGAGTTTTCTATCAGCCTGGCAAGCCTGAGGACTCAAGTAATCAACACAACGGCCACTGATAATATTTCTGCTCCTTCTGCTGCCCCATCGCTAGTCCTGCCTCCTCCTACCAGAGATGTTTTTGTTCCTCCACCGGCACCGTACCACGGCGACCTGGGGTCATGTAAGTCTTTTTTGACCCAGTGTTCCCTTATTTTGAGCAACAACCGCTAAGTTATGCTAATGATCGAGCCAGGATTTCATACTTAATTGGGTGCCTTCGAGGCCATGCTCTTAATTGGGCCTCCGCAGTTTGGGAGAGACAGGATCCAATTTGTGATTCCTATTACGATTTTACTGCTGCTATGAGGCAGATTTTTGACCATCCTGTTAGTGGCAAGGAGGCGGCTAAGACTATTTTCCCTGCGTCAAGAGAACCGCAGTGTAGCTGAGTTGGCCATTGAATTTCGCACACTCGCAGCTAATCGGGGTGGAATGATGAGGCGCTTCTGGGAGCATTTCTTAATTCTCTGTCGGAGAATCTCAAGGACGAGCTAGCTTCCCGTGACGTTCCTGGTAGCCTAAATGATTTAATTGATTTGACCATTCGTGTGGACAACCGGCTCAGGGAGCGGCGACGTGAGAGAGCGGGTAGGACGAAATATGTGAATGCTTACAACTCTCCACAAGTTGTTTTTCCAGCGACACCGCCTGTTCCACCTCCAGCCACGCCGGGACCAGAGCCCATGCAGCTTGGCCGAGCCCTCGTCAGTGCAGAGGAGAGAGAACGCCGCATTAACTCCCGGAGCTGTCTCTATTGCGGTCAGATTGGGCACTTTATCGCATCTTGTCCTGCACGGCCAAAAGGTTGGGCTCAACAGTAGTGGGAGACGTACTGTTGAGCCAAATTAGTGGCACCTCTCCCTTAAGAGCCAGTTTTGAGGGCACCCTTGTTTTTTCTGATCAAACCCTAACGCTTCCTGTGCTCATTGACTCTGGGGCAGATGAGAGCTTTTTGGACAGTGAGGTCGTTCACCAGCTGGGAATTGGGACCGAAGTTCTGGACACCCCTTTGGAGGCTAAGGCATTGAATGGGCAGTTACTCGCCAGAGTCACGAGGAAGACTCTCCCAATCCTCCTTCATCTCTCAGGTAACCACAAGGAGACTATTTCCTTCCATGTTTTTGATTGTACTCACTCTCCTCTTGTTTTGGGGTTGCCATGGTTAAGGTTGCACAATCCTCATGTTGACTGGTCAGCTAAGAGTATCATTTCATGGAGCCCATTCTGTCATTCTTATTGCTTGCAGTCGGCCCTGACCCCAGTTTGTTTTCGATCCACCCCGCCCCCAGACCCTCCGGATCTGTCGGTAGTGCCCTCTGAGTATCACGACCTTGGTGCTGTATTTAGCAAGGATCGGGCTCTTTCTCTCCCCCCTCACCGGCCTTATGATTGCGCCATAGACCTGCTTCCTGGGGCGCCTCTACCGAGCAGCCGCCTGTACAACCTCTCGCGCCCGGAGAACGAGTCTATGGAGAGGTATATTCAGGAATCCCTGGCAGTGGGAATAATCAGGCCCTCGTCCTCTCCGGTGGGTGCTGGATTTTTTTTTGTTGAGAAAAAGGATAAGTCTCTTAGGCCCTGCATTGATTACCGGGGCCTCAATAAAATCACTGTTAAGAACAAGTACCCACTCCCTTTGATTAGTTCAGCCTTCACCCCTCTCTGTGGATCTACTATTTTCACTAAATTGGACTTGCGCAATGCCTATCACCTGGTGCGCATCAGGGAGGGGGATGAGTGGAAGACTGCCTTTAATACTCCCCTGGGCCATTTTGAATACCTGGTCATGCCGTTTGGTCTCACTAACGCCCCATCCGTGTTTCAAAACCTGGTAAATGACGTCCTACGTGACATGATTGGGAGATATGTTTTTGTTTACATTGACGACATCTTGATTTTTTCTAGAGATATCGAGACTCACAGGCGCCATGTCCGCAGTGTCCTCCAAAGACTTCTGGAGAACAAGTTATTTGTTAAGGCAGAGAAATGTCAGTTTCATGAACCTTCTGTCTCATTCTTAGGATACATTATTGCCCGGGGCCAGGTGCAGATGGATCCTGAAAAGCTGTCTGCTGTCCGTGATTGGCCTATCCCCACCAGTCGCAGGGAGGTACAGCGTTTTTTGGGGTTTGCTAATTTCTATAGGAGATTCATCCGCAATTTCAGCCACATTGCGGCCCCCCTGACTGCACTTACCTCCACTTCTTCCAATTTCGCATGGACTCCTGAGGCTGACTTGGCTTTTAAGCGACTTAGGGACCGGTTCACCTCTGCCCCTGTGCTTATTCAGCCCAATCCTGAACTCCAGTTTGTAGTAGAGGTGGACGCCTCTGACACAGGAGTGGGGGCTATACTCTCGCAAAGGTCACCCACTGATCAGAAATTGCATCCATGTGCTTTTTTCTCTCGTAAACTGTCTTCTGCAGAGAGAAACTACGACATCGGTAACAGAGAGCTCCTGGCAATCAAGCTGGCCCTAGAGGAGTGGCGTCACTGGCTGGAGGGGGCTACTCACCCCTTTGTGGTCTGGTCGGATCACAAGAACCTCACGTATATCCAGACAGCCAAGCGTCTCAACTCAAGGCAAGCCAGGTGGGCCCTTTTTTTCGACCGTTTCAACTTCTCTGTCACTTATCGCCCTGGCTCCAAGAACTTGAAACCAGATGCCTTGTCCAGAGTTTATTGCGGTGCACATCCTGCTCCTGAGAATGACACTATTCTGCCTTTGTCCCGTATAGTGGCTACCGTTACATGGGAGATAGAGTCACGAGTGCGTCATGCGCAACTGACCCACCCGGATCCGGGGACGGGACCCCCGAGTTCCTTGTTTGTTCCTGACCCCGTTCGTTCAGAAGTTATTCAATGGGCACACTGCACCCACCTTACATGCCACCCTGGGGTTAGTCGTACCCTCGCTGTGCTCAGGCGCAAGTTCTGGTGGCCTACTATGGAGAGGGATACTAAGGACTTCATTGCTGCATGCAACGTGTGCTCCCAGAATAAATGTTCTAACCAGCCCCCATCTGGGTTGCTGCGTCCTCTACCCATCCCCAATCGCCCTTGGTCTCACATAGCGCTGGATTTTGTTACCGGCCTCCCGCCTTCTAATGGTAATTCCGTGGTGCTGACAGTTGTGGACCGGTTCTCAAAGGCTGCTCACTTTGTACCCCTTCCTAAACTTCCTTCTGCTAAGGAGACTGCAGACCTGTTGGTGAACCACGTCTTCCGGCTGCATGGCATTCCTGCCGACATCGTGTCTGACAGAGGCCCCCAGTTCACGGCTCAGGTTTGGAAGGCCTTCTGTTCTGCCCTGAATATTAACGTGAGCCTTTCCTCTGGCTATCACCCCCAGACTAATGGCCAGACGGAGCGGGCTAACCAGCAGATGGAGGTGGCTCTACGTTGTGTGTCCTCCTCTAATCCGTCCAGCTGGAGTTCTCACCTTCCCTGGGTGGAATATGCCCATAACACACTCCCGAGCGCTTCTTTAGGTATGTCCCCTTTTGAATGTTGTTATGGCTATCAACCGCCCCTGTTTCCTGACCAAGAGGCTGAGTTGGCAGTGCCCTCGGTCCAGGATAACCTTCGCAGATGTCAAAAGACTTGGAAGAAGGCCCGCTCTGCCTTGCTGCGCGCCTCTGCTCGGACGCAAGTACAGGCTAATCGCCGCCGCATCCCGGCTCCTGCCTATTTGCCTGGACAGAAGGTGTGGCTGTCCACGAGAGACATTCCCCTCAAGGTGGAATCTGCGAAGCTGTCGCCCCGCTTTATCGGGCCCTTTGAGGTGGAACAGGTCGTCAACCCCTCCGCGGTACGTCTCAAGCTTCCCTCTTCCTTGAAGATTCACCCCACGTTTCATGTGTCCCGTGTTAAGCCTGTCCAGTCTAGTCCATTGGTTCCCCCCCGTCCAGCCCCACCCCCGCCTCGGTTGGTGGACGGCCATCCTGCCTTTACCGTTCGGCGGATCGTGGATGTTCGACAGCGTGGTCGTGGCTGCCAGTTCCTGGTGGACTGGGAAGGTTACGGCCCCGAGGAGCGATGCTGGGTCTCCCGTGGCAACATCCTGGACCCGTCCCTCATACGGGACTTCTACGCTCGTCGACCGGGGAGGCGTGTGTGTCCGCCTGGGGGCGTCAGTAGGGGGAGGGGTACTGTCAGGGCTGCTCCTCCAGCAGCCCCTCCCTCCCCTGCTTCTCCTGGAGCCGCCTCCCAGAGCAGGTGGATGGGAGAGGCTGATCAGGCCCAGCTGCCTCCTGGCTCCAATCAAGCTACTACAAGAGCTCCAGAAGCCAGCTCATCGGTGCCAGTTCGTAATCAGTGTTACTGTGCGTTAGTAGGCCTGCTTGTTTATCGCTCTCGTTAGTTTTGTCTCACCTTTGTTTTGCTCTGCCTCAGACCTCCGTTCCGCACCGCCTGACCCCAGCCCAGCACCGCCTGACCCCAGCTCTGCACCCAGCCCTGCCCCGCCTGGTCCCAGCCCCATTCCCGGCTCTCCTGTGTTTTGAGTCTACCTATTGTTGTTAATTAAACTTTTTGTTACCTCTGCACTTGGGTTCTTTGTCCGACTCGTAACAATCACGTCTGTTGTTTTCGATCATTTCATTTGTAAGTATTCTGTATGCTCTTTTTATGTATTTTTGGGGACCACAATGTTGTCTCTGCTGTTGTGTCAGATATCTCGCTTTGGCGTCTTCAAACACAAGCTTTAATTTGTTAGTTTATTTTTATTTATCAAGCGGCAGGGACAGTGTACAATAAACATTAACCTCAAAGGGAAGGATCACCAGGTTTTCACTCAAGAGGTCATATCCACCTGTGGTCCCTGTGCAGGCTGATATAACGAAAAGTTATCTGAGCTCTGGACCGCACCCTGCCCCGTCGTGTCTCTCAGACGTTGATACATTCTCTGCTGGAAATCACATGAATAAATATCAAGTCCAGATTCCAGATTTTGAGTCCACTATAAACGGCAGCGAAGAGGTGCTAAAGAGCTCCAGAACGACTCCCCGATCCACACAAGGATTTGAGTAAGAAAAGGATCCAAACGTGTCAGCCACCCGTACTTAACTATTTTGAAAAGAGTAAAGTTAGTTGTTACCCTGAGAATAACGTTAGTAGGTAGAGAAAAGTTGAGCCAACTTTGGGTTTCCATGATTTTTGATGATGTTCCGTATTCATTTCTAGATATTGTAAACTATTCTGTTGTACTTAATTGTCATAATGTGGTCCTGAAATGGCATTAACAATACACATTTGAACAGAGAATATTTGTACAGTAGTGACTTTTACCACCCACAGAAAGTATGTACCAGAACCAAGCCCCGGCGATCCAAGATGGCGCCCTATTTAAATGAATGGTTGTGCTGTGACGGCACGGGGGCTGAAAGATTAGCGGAAGTCGTCTGGAACTCGCAAAGATCTATGGGAAAGTCGCCTGTATTTGGGCATCGTCTGGTCCTCCCGGTTCTGTGCAGTGGATGATCTCCCATAATGCGTTGCGCCAAACACGCGTGTGTGGGTCTCACACCGGGTCTCACGCATGTGCACAGAGGGGCTCGGCCGCGCTCTGACCAATCAGAGCAGTTCATCAGAGCGGGAGTTAGAGCGAGAGCCAGACGAGCAGAGTTTGTGGCACTAAAGTGTGGATTTAAACGAAACCGAAGGATTTAAGAAGAAAAAAAGTTCAGGATGACAAGGGACACTAACATCCCCACAAAGTCCGATCTTTATGAAAGCTGTAGGTTCTCTGTCAGGTTCTCTGTCAGCTGAGGTTGAGCTGTTTTAATATGCATTAAGTTCTATGGGGAAAATTTCTGGGTAGCCCACGTGAATTTAGTCTGGTTCAGTCTGCAGTACCGCGAGAATCCCCTGAGCACATGAGTAATTCAGCTACAAGCTAGTAATACCCTATCCAGTTATTATAATAGATCCATGGGAAGAACACACCAACATTTTGATTAAACTGGGATCCTGGTCCAAAAAGTCAGTTCTCAAAGTTTTTAACCAGGTCTGGAAAAGGAAAAGAAGAGGATTGCATTTATGAGTATTTTTTCTCCTAGTTTTTCTCCTTTTGAGTTCTATATTGCAATTGAACACACATTTGTATATATTTTTCATTCTATCAACTGCATGTTTTGCTCTGCTCTGTGTTTTGCATTCATTAATAATGGTTTGTTTTCACTGTAATACATCCTCATATGGCATTTAACCGTCGTTTCACTGCCACACCAGTCTGTGCCATGTCACGCTCCGACAACTTTGTTCCTGACAAAGCTCTCTGGTGATGCGCCCACGTTTGACCACTGTATTCGTCCTATTATTGACTTTTATTTTATTTGTCTGTCTGCGTCTGGCCTGTGCCTGTCTGAACATAAGGGAAGGGCTTGTTTTCCTCACTGTTATTGTTAAAACATGGGACAATTATATCACAGACTTCACAAGATCTCCAGGAGCTGCCTTCAAGATGGTCTCAAAAGTCGGGGGGAAAAGACGCCGTGCCCACCGGGGGGATGCTTCACCGTGTTCCGACATCTGGCGTGATTATTTTGGGCTCAGGACTTAATCCCTCTCTCAATGTAAACTGGAGAAAAATGTGTGCCAAATGGCTTCAGAGCAAGATGGAATTTTTTGTGTTTTTTTTTTTTTTATAGAGTTTTATAGAAATGTTTGACGCATTATCGAAAGAACACTATAGGAGACAATTGTAATTACTTTTCAGCCTGTCACATTTATAATCATTAGCCTGCTTTTTAGACATGCCAGATTTGGACCCCTGCTAACCATCGGAGGCAACAAACGTCATTATATCGCTCTTTTCTCACATGTTCTGCATTCGTCTGGAGCTTGAGAGTATGTATGTATGCAGATGCCATTCAGAGGTGGCCCACTAAACAGCTAATCTACTTGTCAGGCCCGGTTGCCAGACAGCTCACGGCCCACACGCTTCACAATGTGACTTTATTCATGTCGAAACTGCGGATCTGGGACATTAGCTGTCTCTGCCCACCACAGCATTAGAACGGCATGTACGCCCACTGCAGCTGCCAATGCGAAAGGAGTTAAAAAGGAGAGAGAACTGGCCCAACATGGCAACCCACTGCACCTCATGCTGATAGATGGGGCTTTTGAATCGCGGATGGGTGGTGTAATTGTGCAAAAATGTGCGTTTTATAAGTTATATTAGCTGGTTCTATAGATGTTTGAAGGGTTATCCACGTCAGGGTGTTACAGAGTGTCTGACATACACCCACTGAGAGAGTACACTGCAGCAAAACATTTATTGAACTGGTTTTAAACACCCATGTATCCTGTCGTATCTGAAAGAAACAGATGATCTTTGGAGCTACATACCTCCACATCTTTAAAACGTGCGCAGAAATCTTGCAGCGGCTCATCATGTAAGCTTTCTGATTCACAAAAGTACAATTATTATTCAATGTCATTTAACACAACTTCATTTTCTGAGGTCATACATGATCCAAAACCATATTTAAATGGAGAAAGATGTGTTTTATGCCATGCTGGAACAATATTTCCTTATAAACATGCAGGGAATCAGAGACAGAATCGATTGTATGCAAAGTTTCAGTACATTTTTGGATCATCCGTGACATTTATGGACATTTATGGACATTGGTCATCCCACTCCCTATGAACCAATGGCTCCTGTGTATTATTATTTGTCTTAACAGCAGACAAAAGATAGATATTTCACACTTATACAATATCTACATCAATGATAGATATAAACAGGTAGACATACAAATACAGGCAGACGTACAGGTATACAAAGGCTCAAATTGGTTATTATTGCATTTTCTTAGTTGAAACTGATCTGTTGTTGGTGAATGAACAACTTTGTAGCACTTTGAGATGTGTTTGTGTTTGTAAATCAATCCTTTACTATCTCATATAAAAAGGTATATCGGAGGATTTTCCCAAATTTTAAGAACGAACCGCCCTCTCCACTTTTCGAAAACACTCTCTGGTCTTATTTGACGAGCACGTATCACCAGAATGATTGACAATTAGAGGAACCAGGTCTTGATGATCCACCCGGAAGTAAAAAATCCTCCTATTTGGTGCGTTATAAATGAAATGCATTATTATTATTGAAACACTTTGAGAGACGACTGCTATAGTGATTTAGGGCTATACAAACACAAACTGAATTTTCCTCTCTGTGTCTAAGTCTAAGCTATACCGCAAAACAATTCAATCATTCAATCATGAAAAACAACTGTACCACATGAATACTCTTCCTTAAAGGGTTTCTCAACAATTTTTTCCTTTTTATGTGGGCGAAAACAAATATTATGCATCCAGTAACGCACAATTATCAGGACAATAAATCAATGCAATAGTTAGTGTTTAAAGTGTAACTACATCTGATTAAATTTGACTTTTTGTTGGCCAAGATCAAAGTGGCGAAGACATTCTTTTTCAGTGGCCTTCGGGAACAGTGCCAGGCGATCGTTTGGCCGGCTCTCTGCTATTAAATATTTGCCGAGAACGGGAGCTGAATCATTAGCCGCCGCTCAATGAGACAGAAATAAGATGCTTTGATCACAAAAACTGCTTGTTCAGACAAATCGTCAACATCCACTTGGAAAAGCAAAACCGCGCACACACACTGGGATTGTGCTCCTGAATCTTGCCCAAAAGCTGCAACTGATCAGAAATGAATATAAATGGCTGGCATGATTTATTGGGCTTGAGAAATGGCCTCCGTGGAGAATTTCATATGTATCAGTGATGGGGCAGTGACCTCAGTCTGCAGCACGTCGTAAATAACACGGAGACTTCAAAACGCGCTCGGTAATAATAATAACAGAACATACAGACGATATGTTCTCTTCAATTAGGAACAAGGCTGCGGTCAAGAGCCAGGGGTTCACTATATATTAAGATTAGAGCAGAAACTCAAAGGTTTCTGATAGAAAAAAGGGAAAATATAGACACATGTGTTGGCTATTTTGGTAAAACATATCTAGTGCTCTATACAAAACTATCAGTGTTAAAAATACAAATGGTTTTGATCAATATTAGGATGGTGAGATCATACATTGTCTAATTAAATTCATTTTGCCATTGTTGGAAATATGGGGTAAATGTTAAGGAAAGGTAAGTGTATTTGTGTAGCACAGTTCAAACACAAGGCAACTCAAAGTGCTGAGATAAACACGATAGAAACAATCTCTATGAGTTGTATGCACAGATAAACAGAACTGTTTTTAACATGGATTTGAACATTTTCAGGAAGACTGTTCCAGATATAAGCTCCATAAATCTGAAATGTAGCCTCCTTTTGTGTAGTTCTGACTCTGGGCACCAGCAGGAGGCCAGTCCCTGTGCTCCTCAGAGTCCCAGCAGGAGGCCAGTCCCTGTGCTCCTCAGAGTCCCAGCAGGAGGCCAGTCCCTGTGCTCCTCAGAGTCCCAGCAGGAGGCCAGTCCCTGTGCTCCTCAGAGTCCGAGTTGGATGCACAAGCGCCATAAGAACCAAGAT